CAAGCGGGGCAGGAGTGGAGGGGGCGAGGGTGCCAAGAGCAGGGGAGCCTTCCAGAGGACCGGAAGGAGCAATCCCTGACTGGGGTGGCGGAGGATGGCCGTGGGGGTGACATCTTTCCCAGCCACCGTCCACTCTTCCTATACTTTTTACACCAGCTGCCTAGAGTCAGGGAAAGCGGGGGGCTTGTGGGGGAGGGCCCCCCCCTTCCAAAAGCCCTCCCTTCCAAAAATCCTTTCGCTGACCCCGGGCGTTCAGAGAGTTGTACTTGTTCATCAAATGACCCGGGGGCTTCCGAGTTGCTTGTGAGATCGGAAGGCTTCGCTTTGCCCAGCCTCTTGGATGGGAAATGGTGAGGCGCTTCTGCTGCTCGTTAGATCTCTGGGGCCACCTGGGATGTGCTGGGATGACCCCTGCCTCCCCGTTCCCTCTCCCCTCAGCCGCGAGGCCACCCTACAGGCATAGACATCACCCGAAAGACAAGGCGTGTAGCTTAAACCTTTTTAATAAAAGGATGCATCTTAAGAACTATCCCCGCATGGACCTCTACTGGGCCCCAAGCTCTTCCATGGCTACCCCCTTTTCCTAGATGAACTAGGAGGTACCCCTTCTGTTTAGGGTTTCATGCGTTTCTTTTTGTAGCTAAGGCTTCGGTGGTCCTTTGCATGGTCATGTCCCATCTGCGTCCCCAACCTGGTGGTCTCAGTATTGTCACCAGACCTGATATCTAACCCACTGAGAAGACGGATGTAACTGGCCCCTCCTAACCTCTTCCTAGTGGTCTCTCTATGCCCTTCTTCATCTTTTTCCTTTTTTATCCCTCACCTTCTCCCTTGGGCTCTGATGAAAAATTGTTGACCAGCTAGCTTTGGCAATTTAGAGCTGAATTATTTCAGTTCTAGGAAATAAAACCCGTTGATTAAACAAACCTCAGGTCTGTTCCTTTGTTTTCTGAATAAGTGACCATTACATGAAATGCTCCTATGGTTTTCTATCCATTCCATTTTAAAAACAATAATTTGTAATGTACAGGGATATTGTAGAATCACCCTTGATAAACCTTTACCTTAAGGTCTCTACACTTCATGTATAGTAGTCACTGCCTCTGATTAAAATACATGGAAATAAGTAAAAATATTTGAATGATGACAAACTGAGACAATAACTGAGTTTCTAGTATTTTACATGCTTTTTCAAACTACATCTGGGAAAGAATAAGGGTAATAGGATTGGTCCTTTTTGTTGTTGCTTTTCCAGATTTAATCACTTCTCTCTTTCCTCCAACACTTTACATTTAAAAAAGACAGTTGCTTTATATTCCCAGTTCTTAAAATATGTAGTATTTGCAGAATATTTTGTGTCATTTCAGTGGCTTACTGCGAATATCTGGGGATATTTAAATATACTTAATGATAATCACATGCTGCGTTCCCAGTTCTGTATTCATCACAGGTGCATGCATGCGGAGGCTTAGTAAATACTGGAGTCCTTCTCGTAGAACGTGCCAGGCAGAGTTGGAAACTGAAGACAATCCTATTTCTGTATAAGATAGTATTATTTTACTCCAAGGCATATAAATCAGATGATTCCTTATTTTTCAACTACTGCTACTGCAATAATATTAATACTAGGAGTTGCTATTCAATGAATGTTTATCATATATGTATAGGAGTGGCTTCATTCAATCTTTTTAATAATCTGGCAAGGTAGTATTCAAATTTCCCATTAGAAGCAGCTCTGCTTCAGAGAAGTTAAGTGGCTTTTCTTGCACGTCACAGAACACTCAGGATTCAAATACAGATTTTACTGGTCTAACCTAAGCTTTGTCCTCTGAAGTGCACACTCACAAAAGCACTAACCATGAAGTCAGAAGTTAACAAAATTGCTATTTTAGTATTAATAACGAGTTAATTATGAGAGTAGCTTATATTGAGCCTGTAAAGTGAGCCAGGCAATATACTATGTTCTACATATAAAGACTTTATTAATACAACTCCCAATTAGGTACCTACTATTATCTCTATTTTAAAGCTGAGGAAGCTGAGGTTCAGAGATAAGTAATTTTCCCATGGTTAGACAACAGTAAATGAAGCAAGATTCAAAGGCAGGTCTTTTTCATTCTAAATCACAGGTGCTTTGTTTTATTACTGTATTGGTTCCTACTGAATAAAATGTGAGTGCTTATTCTCCTCTACTATTTTGAAATGAACACTTAGAAATTTGTATAGCAAAGAATATATTAACAGACATTGCTAGTAGATATGTGAAAAAATCATTTGGGGGCAACTGGCAATTGTCATTAAATGACTTGGCGAAATGATGAGGACAATTGCACGTTCAGTATTTTTTCAATAAATATGTGACTATAGGAAGTTGGAATATGGATTGGTATATTTTCCATAGGCAAGCATGTGATTTTGATAAGATTTTTATGGAGGCACATCTTCTAAAACAACTCAATACACTGAAAGATAGAAAATGAAATTACAACCATTTGAGTTTCTCTCTTTGTATTATTTTTTCTTTCTTTTTTGTTTCCATTGTTGGGAATACAAAAAGTTGGTGATCATTAGGGAGCATCACACACATTTGCCTTTTTGGTGACTATAATATGGCAGGGAAAATGGTAATTGGACTTTATAATTCATATAAAGAATGATACTCAGAATTGGCAAACACAATTAGAACCCGACAAAGAAAGTGAAACATGGAAAAATTTGTATTCTCAGCCCTCTTATCCTAGAGGGCTGCTTTTGTGGCCAAGAGATAGATTTGTGTGGACTGAAAAAGATTCTGTTTTCTAATATTTCTTTGTTTGTCTAAAATCCCCAATAGCATCAGTGCTGTCATTGGTTTCCTGCTGAGCAACATATGCCTCAATGACAAAATAACTGATCAATAATTAGTTACCTTACTGACCAAAGGGCACTGTTTGGCCTTTTGCTGATGCTGTATTGTGGGTATTTAAATGTGTTCATGAGTGTTCTGAATATTGTATTTAAGCGTTCCATGTAAATGTGTGCTCATCATATTGTCAGTGATCTGCAGACACATTTAGCATCTGGTTTCTGTAAGGCTTTTGAAGTATTTGTTTTTCATACAAACATCACTGATTATATCACTTTGGCAAGGGATTCAGATGCCACTGAAGGTTGTAAATTTTCTTTTTTTTAGCTCTCACCTGTTCTGTGAATTCTCATCAGTGATGCAGATTCATCTTTGTGACTCATACCTCCATTTTATGTTTCCTGAAACGGTAGTAGATATTCAGAGCATATAAGGCATCTTCTATTCAGTTCATTGTCAATGCTCTTGTCAAAGAAAAACTTTTGCTACACATGCTATGCACACATGCTGCTGCTTGTATTTAGAAAGAATTGCCTGTCTTCTGGGCCTAGCCAACCACGCAAGGTTAAGAGTCAACCCTGTGTGCTCCTGTAGCATTCTATTCTCACACTGATCATATTCTAATTTCCTGTAAAGGATTTGCTCTTTCACTAGGCTGGAGTGGAAAGGAAGTACGTTTCATTAATATTTTATCCCCATTTCCAAAACATGCCATAATAACACAGTAGCTATTTTCCAAATGCTTGAACGTCTGTTATTAAATACCCTTTATAATTGTGATGGAATGAAGGTCGTATGTGATGTTGAGCACCTTCTGATTAAAAACAGGGAGGCCGTGTAAACTGGCCCATGGACTAAAGACATGCAGGTTGGGGTGATTTTGTGTTCATGTAAGTAGCTTCCTAAATTAGGTGACTTGAAAAGCATTGACAGTTCTCACAGACTCAGAGAAATCGCTCTCTGATGCCAAGGCAATGTTATTTATTTTACTCAGGTTTTCCCACTACTTGCGTCACTTGTCTTAGTTAATCCCACATATGGGGCATTATTTTCATAATGCCTCGATCCCTAGGTAAGCAAGAGGATATCCTGGCTGCTGCCTTCTTCATACAGGAGCCGTATATTAACCATCCATCCAAAAATTGACAATAATAAAGTGTTAGTATGCCAAGGAGAACTTGGACCTGACATTCCTTCAGCCTCTTATGGTGAAGACATCCCACTTGGTGTGAATATTTCTCAAAATTTAATGTATTTAAAGAATGGGTCTATTCACATAATATAGCCCTAATCTCACAAGCCAACTATCTGGCTTATATTGGGTTGTTGGAAAAGTCATGATGCATTTTTGCAATGAAAAACAGAAAAAAATACATAATGACTTTTCCGACTACCCAATATATAAACACTTATCTTTTCCACTCCAGGTAGAAAAATTCACCATGTTAGACGGAGAGCTCTAAAATAGAGATCTCCTGGGCCCGCCGAGTGGCGCGTTGGTTAAGAGCTGGCTTGGGACGCCAGAGGGCCCCGGTTTGGATCCCACATATGAGGGTCAGTGACACTGCCCTCTACAGCTAAGATGCTGAACCAACAGCTCAACCTGGAGCTGGGCTGCCGTGAGTCCCGGCGGTGGTGTAGGCTGCAGCCACTGCTGCATTGGGTTGCCATGGGCTACCGTGTGTAGCCATCAACCAGCTAGAGCGGCCAGCAGCCGCCATGAGCGGCCGTCCAGAAGCCGGCAACTGATCTGCCTCCCCGGGGAAGAGCACAATGATGGTGCCAACTTGGGCCAGTGAAGCAACGT